AACGGCTGGTTGGTAGGCTGGAACGGCCAAATTTAGACTGCCCAGCAGGGAGTGGCGATGGAGGGCGAGACGGTCTGCCATTCGGCCCTCCCATGCGAGCACCAGGAAAACCTAGGACGGCCCGTGCAACGGTCTCAAGCCATGACGACGGCATCGGAGGTGGAGGCGAACTTTGGATACGGTGGTTGTCTTTCAGGCTGGTGGTGCTCCTTTTCGTCACTGGGGTCGGGCCGTGTGCCCCGAGAAGTCTCCGCTGCGGGATGTTGGGAGCCGAGGCTATGTGACGCAGGTAGGCGCGAGCTGGAGACGCGTGGTCGTTCTGTGGGTGCCCCTTATCTGGGAGGCCACGAGACGTGAAGGGGCGGCCCTGTGCCGCTCCAGTCCGCGAGGATGATGGCGATGCCCGCGCAGTTGAAGCTGGAACGGACGAGACGTAAATTTTCAACGCGATCAACGAAACTATTTAGGACATACTTATATGTAATGCAGCCTTGTGCTGGTGTGTCGAAGGGGAAACGAGAGGATCCTGTCCTCCTCGGTCATTTCTGGGCGCTCTGAAGTCGGTGGGCGGCGCATCGACCTGTCCCAGTACGAGTCCCGCCAGAAATCCTACCACGGTATCAACGCCATTTCTTAATTTTCCATCAGTTTGTCTCGCGGCTCCGTGATCCTGTTCTTGTTCTCGATGTCGCTCGGTTTCGGGAGTAAAAATACGGGTTTCCTTATACCCAGCTTCTTTGAGGAGGTCTTCGAGGCGTTCATATGTTTTTGATGTCCCACGACGGTGTAGGGGAACCCGCAGACCGTCATGAGCGAGATGAGAAGGGTACCTTGATCTCCCACGGGGTGGGGTAAAGGGAGTCGGTGGAGGTTCAATGTTATGAGTGTCCGTAGCGGAAGAAAATGACGATTGAAGGAGGCTTGGCGGCGAGACAGAAGGAGAGGATGGAGATGTTGCCTATATCACAACATTAGCTCGATGTTTATTCCAGAGAAATTGTGCTCACCACAGTCATGTTGGGTACCAAAAAAGCGACCTATGGACCTGGGAAGCGGGGGGTAAATATAAGCATCAGAGTCTTTGGCGATAGCGTGGGTTGTTGGGGGAGTCAACGAACAAGCGGCACTGAGCTTCTTCGTCAGCCACGCCACTGATGCAGATGCGGCTTCGTGTGTGTTCGCGGATGGAAACCAGACACGAGACAGTGGCGGACTTGTTATGTAATCACGGCGCTGCAGAGTCACACCCATCACATGTCACAAATCATGACAGTCACGGAGGACTTGCGCGTCGCGTTTTCGCATTTGGGACGACCGGACGCGCGTCCACTCGTTCGTTTATTCTATACACTATGCCCGAACCCACCAAAGCAGCCATTGCCGTTCCATCGAACGATCCTAAGAAGAAGGAAAAGGATGAGAAGAATGGCGCGACCTCAAAGAAGAAGCCCGATGAAAAGGAAGGGGAAGAGTTGGTGCGTCATATTTCACTCAATATGACCTGGAGTTTTAACGTGTGCGCACCAGTCGGAAGAAGACCTGCAGCTCAGAGGAGAGTTAGAAATGCTTGTAGAACGACTGAAAGTGTGCACCGTCAATTCATTCCACGTCGTTGATTGAATCCTCGTTCAGGAAACCGATACCACCTTGTACCGGCCAGCTCTCGAGACACTCCGTACCCTCATCCGGACATCTACGTCATCTATGACTTCCGTCCCAAAGCCCTTGAAGTTTCTTCGACCCCATTATCCCGAGCTACAGGATCTTTACGAACTTTGGTCCCCGTCGGAGGGCAAGGTGCAGGCTCAGTCCTCCCAGAGCCTGATAGATGGCCCTAACCATCGGCATCTTTGCAGAGTCTCTTTGCAGATATATTATCAGTGCTCGCTATGACTTACTCTGACACCGAGCCTCGTGGTACACTACGTTACCGTCTTCTTGCGGCTTCTCTACGCCCCCCAACATCACCACTTGCCGACCCTGGGGATTGGGGACATGAGTACGTTCGCCACCTGGCTGCAGAGCTCGGCGAAGAGTACAGTCTTCGTGAACAAACTGAAGTGCCGAAGGCTACACCTGAGGTGGGCACTACGGGGCCTGATAGCGAAGCAGACGATAAGGACGGCGAAACAGACAAACCTCAAGTCCCTCTTTCTGTCGGAACATTAGAGGACCTCCACGACCTGGCATTGGTTTGTGCGAAGTTCCTACTTGAACATAATGCCGAGCCAGATGCAGTTGATCTATTGGAGGAGTTGGAAGTCGTAGATCGAATCGTCAATCTAGTAGATGCAAACACTTATAGTCGAGTGGCCGCTTACATGATTGCGTGGGTGATTTCTTGTTACATCCCCGTATCAGTGCTCCTGACCAGAATGCCAGATGCGTGAACCTCCTCCCACCACAAGATGATGTTGCTTTCTTGAGGACAGCACATATGATATACGAAAAGCATCAGCGATTTCCTGAGGCACTTTCTTTGGCAATCCGACTCAATGACTCGGAACTCATCCGTAAGGATTTCCATGCACCTGGCAACCCGTACGAGTAGATGTCATTATGCCTGCCCCATTTCACTGATAATTGGATAGGCAGATGAAACGTCAACTTGCCTATATCCTCGCCCGAGCACAAGTACCATATCACTGGTTACAACATTCGACGACAGATGATGATGGGGATGACGACACGCTTGAGGACTTGCCTGAGGACTTGCAAGAGATTCTGTTCAACTCGCGCCTAAGCACACATTTCAAACAGTTTGGAAAGGAGCTTGGCGTCCAGGATCCGAAGAGTTTAGAGGATGTGTATAAGTCTCATTTAGAGACTTCGCGTACGTTTGACCTCGTCCCTTGGGAATCCCCAATATTTACCTCCTGGTATAAGGACCATCAACGGCGAATGTTGACTCAGCACGAGGGAACCTAGCCGGCACGTTCGTCAATGCGTTTGTCAATGCGGGGTTCGGAAACGACAAGCTCATGGTTGAAGCGGAAGAGGGTAATAGTTGGATCTATAAGAATAAAGACCACGGTAAGGACCGGTCGAGTGTTTACTCTGCTGAGATATCTTCACACGTTACATTGCCTACAGGAATGTTGTCTGCCGCCGCAAGCCTTGGTCTTAGCTTATTGTGGGATACCGATATTGGTCTGAGCCATGTGGATAAGTACACCTACTCATCAGAAGAGTATATTAAGGCTCGCATTTGCCCTCAACCTTTGCTTCTCCCTGCTCACCTATGATTTGCAGGCTGGTGCCTTTCTTGCTACCGGTATTCTTAACACCGGTGTTCGTTCCGATGCCGACGCTGCATTAGCACTTCTCGGTGATCACATATCCAATAAGTCCGTTCCACTCCGGACATCCGCCATTATCGGTCTGGGCTTTGCCTATGCCGGCTCGCACCGCGAGGATATCCTATTCATGTTACTTCCCCTCATATCTGATGACGAGATCAGCATGGAGATCGCGGCATTGGCCGCGCTTGCTGTTGGTCTCATATTCGTTGGAAGCGAAAATGGCGAAGCTGCGCTTGTCATTCTCCAAACCTTGATGGAAAGGGATGACCGTGCGCTGGATGAAAAGTGGACACGTTTCTTGGGACTGGGCCTCGCCCTTCTTTATGTCGGTGAGTGACTGAGACTGAGTCAATATCGTTATTGTGTCGAGTGAGCATCTATCAATAGGCGCGCAAGCTAGCGATTCGTATGACGCGACAGTCGAAACGCTGAAAGCGATTCCTCATCAAGCATCAAAGCAAATCCAAGTTCTGGTTGAGATGTGTGCATTTGCAGGAACTGGCAACGTTCTCCGTGTGCAGACTATGCTGCAGCAATGCGGCGAGCACCTGAATACCAAGGATGATAAAACAGCATCGGACCAGGAAGGAGAGAAGAAGAAAGCGGAAGCCAAGCAGAACGATACGTTTCAAGCGTTCGCGGTCCTTGGGATTGCGCTTGTGGCTATGGGAGAGGATATCGGTGCAGAAATGTCTCTCCGACAGTTCAATCATCTAGTGCGTCGTGGCTTTTCTACCCATACCACGGACCTATAACCTACATTACAACCAGATGCACTACGGCGATCCCGTGATCCGGAAAAGCGTCCCCTTGGCGCTCGGTCTTGTCTCCGCTTCGAACCCACAGCTGTCTATCCTCGATATTCTCTCGAAGTATAGCCATGACAATGATCTTGCCGTCGCGCTTAATGCGATCTTTGCTATGGGCCTTGTCGGCGCAGGGACAAACAACGCCCGCCTTGCCCAGATGTTGCGGCAACTCGCGGGTTACTACCACAAGGAGCCAGACTGCCTCTTTATGGTGCGGATCGCCCAGGGACTTGTGCATATGGGCAAAGGGACGATAGGCATCAACCCATTCTACCTCGATCGGACCATTCTAAACAAACCGGCGGTCGCTGGTTTACTCGCAACGCTAACCGCGTTTACGGATGCTAAAGCCTGTAAGTGCCCGACCGTCGTATTCAACAAGGGTTTAACACTACCTTCACCTAGTCGTGTTGGACAAGTACCATTGGATGCTTTACTTCCTTGTGCCAGCCATGTACCCTCGATTCCTTATCACTCTCGATGAAGACCTCGAGCCGAAGCCCGTCACCGTCCGGGTTGGCACTGTAAGTACTTGCATCTAGGTTTCGTTCTTCATCCTCATCCCCGCTTTCAGGCTGTCGACGTCGTGGGTCAGGCGGGAAAACCGCGCACCATCTCTGGCTTCCAGACCTATCAGACACCCGTACGGCTCGCAACCACAGAGCGTGCGGAGCTCGCAACAGAAGAATATATTCCGTTTGCGAGCGTGCTGGAAGGGTTCGTTTTGTTGCAGAAGAACCCGGGCTGGGAAGAGAAGATGGAGTTGTAGCTTTATAGATACCGCAACCACCTCCATGTATTTCCACCATTCTAATTTGCAACTCGCAAATTTCACGGCGATGTTCCCCTGGAACGTTGATTTCACTGAGATTGAATGGCGCTCAGGATCGGCCGCCTGGCGAAATGGCATCGCGTCTGACTACGACCCTGTTGTGATCAGGAGATTGCAGGTTCGACCCCTGCGGTGGTCAACTGAAAGGAACTTTTTTTTTCCCCTCGTTGGGGGTGAAAACATCGTCCATACATACAGTGTACAACACGTTGCGGACAACTAGGGGCGATAGTAGCTAATCTTCGACATCCTATAGAGCGGTCCCAGAAGGGAAGATCATGGGACCGACGACTTCCGAACGCTTCTGTGCCCCACAAAGTCTTTCGACAAGCGTGAAGGCAAATGGAAAAGCAGTTCCTAGTGAGGTCAGATGGCTTAGCCAAATCTTGTCCTGGATAGAAGCGTATCAACCTGCCTGGCCCGCGGCTGGGAAGGTGGCCACTAGTTGTCAGCGCACGTTACTGGCGAAAGGTGTAACCAAGTACCTGGTGATGAGGTTTCCAGAAGTCACGACTGAGTCCTCGCCATATTCGAAGTCTGTCAAAACAATGGCGATTGTGAGCCGTGCGTGTGGATCTCCTCAGGAATGATGGGGGAGAACTACCTTCATCCAGTCGCTCCTTCACTGACGGGTGGGACGTCAAGGGTTGACGCGGAAGCTGAGAGGTTTTCGCAACGATGCTAGCTATTGCGGAGCTCTGATAAAAGCCTCAGGTTCCCATCATCAGGTCCCTTACCGGCGCAGATCATGCCCACAACTTTTCCGCTATCGTAGAAACTTTTGACCAACGACTGGACGAGGGGAGACTGGGACATAGTTTCAGCGCCCTTCAGGCCGCCGGGGATGATGATGGCGTCGTATTCTCCCTGGAGCGCACCACTGCGTTAAATCCCTGACGTAGTGAGAGATGGTTGAGGATGGAAAGATACGTACGACGCTGGACGCACTGAGTTGAGCCTGCGATATATCCGGCACGATGCGGACACCGCGAGAGCATCGAGCGACACCTGGCTCGGCCCCTCACCTCCAGACTCCCCGGGTGGTGTGATGAGCGCGGATGTGCACTTCACTCCGGCACGGACTAGGGTGTCATACGTGATGGTGCTGGTTGGGCGAGAGTTGGAATGAGCAGATGCACGTCGATATGTGATCCCCACAGTTTACTGACAATTCCATCTCTTCCGATCCATTGGCGATCAATATAAGTGCAGACGGCATGACGATGGATGAGTGAGTCTGAGGAAGGGCGAAGGGAGACCATTACGTCATAGACCGGCTTCGCGGTCCGGCACTGTTGAAGTGCACTCGCTTGAAACCTCGGCTGGAAGTCGGGAGATGTTCGTGGCCACCCAATCACACAGACTTACTCGACCGGTATTGGCCTCCCTTAACGGTCTTAACCTTGGGTCTCCGTGGGTCCGTCGAAGAACCGCACTCTCGGTCGTCGAGGGCACACGTGACCCTCCTCTCGACAACAGGACACTTCACGATTACTTCGCCGCAGAGGTGGTGTCCCGGAGACCAGAACGCCCCGCCCTCATCTGCCCCCAAGAACGCCCCAGAGCACATGGCGGGCCTTTACCGCGAAACATGGGCGTGGAGAAACACCTCGCCTGGGATTTCAGCGAGTTTGACAGGCACGCCAGAGCCCTGGCCCGCGGGCTTGTGAGTTTAGGTGTCAAGAAAGGCGATCGGGTTGGCGTGATTATGGGAAATACTAGGTATGCGTGTCTCGATATGGCAGCTACTGATAGGTCTAAATATATATTTTTTCGTCCAGCGCGTATGCGATGTTGCAGTGGGCGTGTGCGAGCATTGGAGCTATTCTCGTCACTATCAATCCTGCTTATCGTGTTCACGAGTTGGTGGGTTGCCTTGAAGCATTGACTTGTTGACCGTCTTTTAATTTATTTTCGCAGATCGGGACTATCCGCCTTGTTGGTGTCAGTCACCTTTTTCTCGTGCCACAAATCCGCACCTCTTCCTACCTGACGCTCCTTGCCGAAGCACTCCCATCGCTGCGGACATACTCACCCGGTGACATTCAAGAAGAGGCCCTACCCGACCTTAAGCACATCGTTGTCATCGATAATACCCACCAACCGAAGAGATTCCATGAGATACTTGGTGATATCCACTGTGCCGTCGACTTTCGTGAGGTTTTGCTGTGGCAAGACGGGGGTACCAAGGAAGATCGTATTGTCGAAGAAACCAAGAAAACTCTGGACAGGGATGACGTGATCAATCTCCAATTCACAAGGTCTTTCTCATTTCCTCGAGTTGCACGATCGTTGCGTGCTGATTCGACCTGAAGTGGGACGACTGGAGCACCAAAGGCCGTCTCGGTGCGTTTTGTTTTCGCCAGTCGGTGAGCTCTATGGACTCATGTCGATAGCTCACACACCACAACCTCCTCAACAATGGAATCTCGATTGGGCGAGCAATGCGCCTTACGGAAAATGACATTCTCTGTAATGCGCCGCCGCTCTTCCATTGTTTTGATAAGTAACTCCTTGGCCTATATGCCAGAGTCATACTTACTTCCACGCTAATACGCCTCGTCCTTGGAAATTTGGCTGCATGGACTCACGGCTCGGCCATCGTGTACCCCTCTCAGATTTATGACCCATGCGCAATAGTGGACGCTGTGATCAATGAGCGCTGTACGGCGTTACACGGCGTACCAACTCACTTTATGGGAGTTCTCTCCGAGGTCGAGCGAAGGCAGGGCGCTGGTGAAGAGCTAGATTTCAGCCGGCTCAGGTTCGCCTCTTCCCGACTTGAGCGCATAGTTTCCCCTTACAATGCGCGCGTAGGACAGGAATCGCCGCCGGTTCACCCGTCCCGATCGAGCTCATGAAGGAACTGATAACAAAGTTAAACCTGCGCGAGCTGACAAATGCGTACGGAATGAGTATGTCTTGCGTTCCTTGGCTTCGTTACACCTTGACAAATCCCTGATCGTGTTTTGGACAGCGGAGACTAGTCCAGTGTCTTTTCAAACCACACCCGCAGATTCCATAACTCAACGTGTCGAGACGGCGGGGAAGATCCGTCCGCATGTTATGGCGAAGGTCGTAGACCCTACTGGAAACGTCGTTCCCGTCGACATGCCAGGGGAACTGCTCGTGTCTGGTTACTTGCTCCAAAAGGGGTTCGTACTGCAGTCGACCCGCGCTTCGCTGGCTGATTTGTTCTGCGAGAAGTTACTGGGGTGACAAAGATCAGACAGACTTGGTCATGCGCAAAGATGAGAATGGAAGAGTATGGATGCACACAGGTGATTATGGTACACTAGACGGTGATGGTTATCTGCGCAGTGCGTTGTTCATGCTGCTACCTCTGGATCTGATGCTGAGTATGATGTCGTACAGTCGTTGGTAGAATCAAGGTGCGCAGCCAACCTGATGGTGGATGAACTTATTCGGAAACACACCCACACCGCATTCAGGATGTCATCATTCGAGGAGGAGAGAACTTGTTCCCTGTTCAGATTGAGAACGTCTTGACATCCAATCCGTCCATCCTCGAAGTAGCCATCGTCAGCGTACCAGATAAAAAATACGGGGAGGTGGTCGGTGCTTGGGTCAGGCCTAAGCCTGGTGCGAAGCTATCTCGAGAGAGGGTGAGGAAGGTCGTATGGGAGAGCATGAACCCACAGGTGCGCATTTTTTTGAAGATATGTAGGGACCAGCTCTCACTGTTAATATATAGAACGCACCAGCGTGGGTTTGGTTCCTGGGGGAGGACGGTACTCCCAACGAGCTTCCGAAGACGGCGAGCGGGAAGGTGCAGAAGCACATTTTAAGAGAGTGGAGTCGAGAGCTCGCGGAGAAGGGGATCGGGCTAGTGCAGTAAGCACTCACGATATGACCAGAGGCGCTCGACATGCTATCGTTGTTTGCAATATTATTTACCTCGTTCTAAGGTCTGCATCTCATCTGACCTCTTTTTGCACGTTGTCAGACACAGGACAGGTCACACATTGCAGGGCTGTTCAGGAGCCGCAGAGACAACTGTACGATTCAGTTTGCATAATTGAATGAATGAGGAAGAGGAAGGAAGTTTCACCACCAGTCTGCTGCTGCGTTCACGGCCGAGCGTACTTCAAGTTGCCTCGATTCGAAATGGGAAACGTTTGTCGTGGTGCTCACGAGTGACCAAATTTTGTCTACGTACCGGCCGACCAACTGTACTGTAAGGTTGCCCTACTGCAGTGCCTTATCGATGGTGGTATCAGTTTCTGAGAACGAAAAAAGTAATTCCAAACGCTGTCAGTGCGGACTCAGATGGCAACGTCACGGGCGTCTGTCTAGCCAGCACATCACCGCAGTATCACCGCCTGAGACCTACAAAAATCTCGCAGACGCCGTGCGATGCTTATTATTTAGCGCACACCAATTACCGCATTCGCACGTCGCCTTCGCTTATCTCCACCGACGGCATCTCGTCCTGCGCCTCCTGCTCTGGCTGCTATGGGTTTCGCACCATCTTTCAGCACGTCAAGCGAGCCGCTCGAACGCTTTGATGCCGTGCCAGGTAGGCCACCATTCCCTGTTATTCCAGAGAAGTACTGGTACCAACCAAGTACGTTTGCCGCTTCGGCTACTAGTACCCGGGACAAATCAGTGCGACTCAAGGTGCGACTGCTCTGTTGCAACTTCCTTGGCAGTTAGTGGCGCGGCGCCAGTTTTCGAGAAACGTGAAACGTGATAGATCCCTTCCCTGCACATGGCAGATACTTAAGCGACAAGGCTAGTTTTTGTGACATCGCTCCCCAGGCCGCCCAAGCAGATGAGAGGTACTAAGAAGGACACTTTCCGAGTACCCTTGCGTGTGCGATCGCATTGAGACTGCAGTGTTCAGATCCATGCCCCACTGTCGAGATTTGCTCCTGCATCACGACAATGTACGATAGAGATGTAAGCGGCAGTAGTTGTGGATTGTGGAAACATTTGGTGTACTGTTACTACTGTATAATAAAATTGTTTCGGACTCGATACTTCACTAGCTTCACTGCTCAAGCGCTCAAGTATTAAACAGTATCTCGCAATATTGGAAAGACATAACAGCATAAGACCGAGTATGCCCGAACGGTTATTTCCATTCAAGACTCACAGGAGATCCACAGACCTTGT